TGGCCAGATGACCTGCTTGCAATCGTCTATAGAGAATTTTGTAGAACCTGTGAGAACCTTGATTAACAAAATAAGAAGTGAACCGGGCATTTGCAGTCATTTTCTTGTGCATTCTTATGGGTTATTACGCCCTACTTTATGGGTGTTGGTAATCGCACCTTTTTTTATTTCCCTTTCTGGCGGTGATGCACACAATTTAGAGGGCGTACTGCGCAGACATAACGCGCTAATAAAAAGGTGTACAGTGGAATCACACCCTAATTGAAAGGTGTTCGGAATAACGCCGTCCTTTAAGGGTGTTAGGAAAAAAACACCCTATTTTAGGGGCGATAGGAATGACGCTCTTTGTTTAGGGCGTTGTGCTACACCCAAATGGGTGTTAGTTATAGGACAAGCCATTTACACCCAGAAGGGTATTACGATGTTTAGTGTGTAGACGGGTTATTCTTTCATATATGAAAGGCTGGTGACGTCACTCCCCACGTCGCAAGCTGTCGTCGCCGCGGCAGCTGGGGCAATACTAATCTTCACCGGGAACGTATGCGGTGAGCGCTACGTGCTTCGCATTGTTCTCAGGAGAACCTTATCATTCGTTATATTGTTAAGATGCTTGTTTTGTGCTCATTCTTTATTGAAACAAATGCTATACTGTATGTTGCGTGCGTGGTGTTTGTACTTTTCGCTTCAATCGTCTGAAGTCTTTTTTTCCATGAGAACGCCAACACGAAAACCCACGCGGTTAAAAGGAACGTGCCTCACATTGCTCGCAGGCGCCGGTATCATACCTTATGCGGATTGCACTTCGCACGAGAATTTCCAATGAAGTTAACCGTTTCGAATTAGCTGCAAACCTAATCTTTACCGGAACGCGTGGGAGTGTGTTCCTATTATTCACACGCGACTCCAGCGACCTATAGGGGGCGCCAGCACCAAACAAGCATGGCGGCTGAGTCCAGGTCGCGTCGGCTCGGCCGGGCCGCCTGAACAGGTGGCGCGTTCAATTTAACAGATTTTCTTTTGTTTAGTGCCCAATTTTATAGGTGTTTGAACTGAGACAGTTAAGTGTAACCGGTGCAGATAAACTTGCAAAGCATAGTTTTGTTTTGCCGGTGTTTTTTGTTCTTTTCATGTCAAACTTTCGTTTCGGATATTTCGTTCAAAACCGAAACTATGGGCTCCGGAAAGGCGGTAATATACTAATCAGTTTTGATCATCTAAGGAAAGCGGCAATGACTACAGAATTGTTCTACAGAAAGTAACTTTTCAGCTAACTCGCATGCCTCAACCATGCGACTTATATGTCCGCGAAATCGAGCTTTTGTGCGTATCCGCGTTTAAGAAACAGCTCCAGTCGTCTGCTGGGTCAACAACACAGGCTGCAGGAAAATTACGAATATCAAGCAAGCGCTTCTTGAGTCAAGGACCATGTTAATCCGCTGGCAGCTGATACTGAGCAGCTGATACTCGTATTTCAATTCAGGTTTTAGTAGCAATCGAGAAGTCATTTTGACGAGCGGGTTATGTATTACATTACGTAGTATGTCCCACTCAGGTGATATTAGTATCTCTTCGGGTTGAAATATGAGCTTAGTTGACTAGCTATTTGGTGAGCTGCTGAATAAAAGTATGTTTGAGAGACAGAGAGATACTACTTAAACTTAGCCAAATGGTTCAATACCCGGCAGCACGGAAACAAACTGAAGAGAGTCTTCATCGAACATTCACGCAGAACCTCTCTGCATTGAACTTGGCTCCGAATCCTGGACGGAAAATTGAGTATTTGTTTTTGTGGCCGGTCAACCTGACCAATGTAGACGTATATTGGTGCTGGTTTCGACGTCCTCGTAATGTAAATATTGGAGGCGCGATAGGTCAAAATGCCGTGACAGCATCTTACGATGCGAGACTCGTCCCCCACCTTTTGAAAACAGCTAATTTCTCCTATTCATCCTTTGCAGCGAGCAGGTTTTCCTGAATCAAGTAATTGCGAAATCAGCCAAACTTCTTCAGTATGGTCAGAGGCTTTTTCGGCGAAAAGCAGCCAAGATGAATAGCCAACGCACCGACCGGCGTGGGTGGCTCAATCTTGAAGCTAACCGAACACAACCAAACTCGAGAAAAACAGCTATCGAACCTTCCCATTCACTTGACTGCAACATTGATGTTTCCTTCAGTGAAACGACTCGTCTGTCGTCCTCAGTCCACTGTTCTACATTCTCATAAAGAAACAACTTATCAGTTACAAAGTAGTCGTCACTTTGAATGTGATTCAAGACAGACAAGAAATCAAAACGTTTTTCGGTGATTTCTCCGCAACCAAGAAATCGAAAACACGCGACTGTGTGTTGTGGAGTAAACGGGCTTTCAAATACATGATGGAAGGAAACAATCTACTGAGGCCTCACCACACTAATGATCACTCAGGCAAAGTTAAGAAATATTCGGACCTTCGTCAAATTACGTTAATTGTTCGCCACCGCGCCGACTACACGTCTCCGCGAAAGCTACCAGAGACGCGGAGGGGCGCGGAGCGACCTGGACCGGCTGGTTCCCGGTTTTCCCGCTTGGTGGCGTCCGTTTTGCTGGAGTCGCGAATCACCCACCATCTGGTATTGATGCTTGTTTTATTACTGGTTGCTTTATGGTTTTTTATTAAAACGAATACTGAGCTGTATGCTGTATTCCTGATTTCAAAGGAGATATGCTGTTTTGCCTTCAATTGTTCGCCGGGAGTTTTTTTTTTTTTTTTGCTTACAACGCAAACGACATCAAAATTTTCGTGGCTGGTGGAGGTATACAGCTTCGCTGTAAAACATTAAATTGGCCATACCTCTATGCTTTGAGCATCGTGCCTGTAGACAATGTTGCGAAATAATTTGTTTTTTTGATACTTACATAAAGACAACACAAAAATTCGATTGTTTCCTTTTCCTTAATGAGCTCGTAATTTTTCTACACTAGAAATTGTCCTCTACTTAGTTCAGAACTGGTGTCTTGCAGGTAGATGCCGCTTAACGTCTGCAAATGTAATTGCATGTGCTTTCTCTCGTTCCTCTTTCCAAACCTCCACTGCTGTTCCTCGTCAAGCTATTGATGCATATAAGTATTTCGGCATTCTTCTCACTCGAAACCTCTTGGAAAACCGAAATTAACTTGGTGGTAAATTCAGCAAACAAAAGTTTGAATTTTTCTTCGCCGCAATTTTAAATTATCCCCTCCTAAACTAAAACGGCTCCTGCATATTTCCCCAGCCCGGTCTAAATTAGAACACGCATCACCTGTCTGCCACCGCCATCATGCAACATTAACAGACAACATCGAATCCGTCCAAAACCGTGCTGCACGTTTCATTAAGTCTGATTACTCAATTTTTTTCTAGTATGTCCGAAAGAAAATCAAATACTTCTCTCCCATTCTTTATTTTTGTCGAAACATGCCTTCTGCGTGTTTTTTTTTATTAACCATCTCTGAATCAGTCTTTTCTCTCCCCACAGTCTTATAATTCTTTCCGACTCGATCATTGCAGTACAACAGCCCGCCGCAGTATCCTCCCACAGCGTACTAGCATGCCTCTCTTCTTGATGCCATTGTGGACTGGAATGACCTTCCCAAAATCTTGGTCATCATCAGGTCTCTATTAGGTTTCAAGAAGCAGCTCTCATCATTGTGCATGGCACCCACTCCCCTCTAACGCCTTATGACCCTAAGGGTATTGAAAATATATAACCTGCTTCTCCGATTTTTATTACTGGGTGTGCGAATAGTAAGAAACTTCATCCGCTTATTTGGTAACCGTGGGCGTTTGCAACGTTTACAACAACTAAAAAGCAGACAGCTAGTTTTCGTATATAGCATCGCGAGAGCGTCTCTTTAGGAAGCAAAAACGTGCGCCTCCGAAACGCAGCATCCAAGAAACGCCAACTCAGAGGCGCTCGCTCCGTGTGGAACATAAGCAACGTGATAGGCTGCCTAATCAATCTGCTGACTTGTATTTATACACCAATGTAAAATAAAGGAACAAAAACATGAGCCACTCCACTCTGTGAAATTGTATAAGCAGCGAAGCTGTTTAGCGCGCGACACAGGCCCACCCTCAGGAGGCGGAGGAAACTAGGCACGCGCGACTGGACCGCCACCCGGCGAAAAGTAGACACGCGCGATGGGACCGCCGACCCGAGAGAGCGGAAGGAAAGTGAACTAGGCACGCAAGCACTTGGAACGACGACAAGGAGAGGGTGGTGCGAGCTTAGACAATGCCGACGCGGGTCGCACAGCGGCAAATCCTCGGGAAACCTTTATTATCTACCTGAGAGTCTACTGATCATAAACATTGTGCCTATTGATAAATAATTTACTGAATAGACATAGTGATAAATTACCCAAGCATCTAGGATAATGCAGGAAATGATGTTCCACGTGCCGCACGTGCCACTGTCTGCCGCAGTAACTGCTTTGAAGCGAAAGCCTAAAACAAATGGCGTCTTGCACGCGCGTTCGTCAACGCTTTATTTTGGTGATTTTAGCCACTGCATTGCACTGCGCAGAGCGTCCGTGCCAGACGGCGAAGAAACGTGGAGCAGTAACTATACTCCGCGACAACTTTTCTTGGCAATGCAGTGGAAGGTACAGGCCCACGTCCCCTCTCCCATTTTGAGTGTACGCAGGCTCTCCTCCTCCCCCATTTCCGGGGAGAGGAGGAAAGCCCGCGCACACTCAAAATAGGAGAGGGGACGCGGGCCTGTACCTTCCACTGCATTGCCAAGAGAAGTTGTCGCGGAGTATTAGCCCCGAGAACTTTGGGTGGCGCCCTCTCACGGCCAGTCGACGTGACGTCACGCCGAGGAGCGAATTTTCCCCGGCTCGGCTTGTGTATGTCGTACGCGGCAGGCTGCTTCGGTATTCGGTGCGGTAGATCCTTTCTCGTCTGTTTATTCGACGATGGTTTTGTTTTTCTTCGTGGTTTCGCGAGGCGGTCAACTTTTGTGAAAATTTCGAGCAGGAATCGGGTCCGGATTTGTTCCGTGCTGCCTCATGGACGACGGACACACCAGAGATCGAGTTACGGGTTAGCAAGCTCGTTCTTAGTTCCCAGCTCTCCGCTGCGCGCCAAACGCGCCCACCGACTGAAAATACTTGGCGTAGGAACGGTGCAGCGTTCGTGGTCTGAGCGACCTCGGTAACCGGTGCGTTAATAATTTTCCTTTGCAGTTGCGCTGCCGGTGAGCAGCATTAATCGGTATGTGGACAAGGCCTGCGAGACAAGTCGGTGCCTCATCGAGGCCGAGGATGTGTACTATGCTGGCCACGTCGTTGAGTGCGCCGTTGAAACGGCCCACGGCGACCGCTACACATTCCTGGCGTTTGTTTTACAAACATCCGCAATCTCTGGCGCCCCGCACGAGGTGAAAGTCGCCGTCTGCAGGTCGGAGGTCGACCAAGCCAGCTGCACGTGCAAGGCAGGGTATGTTTCGGGCCGGGCCGATCTTTTCTGCCACGAGCCAAACCACACGCTCGATTTTTACAGTGATCTGAAGTAACATAACTTCGTTCCTATAAAAAGAGCCTGTGAAATCCCTCATATTCGTGTTCCTTTAATTTTCGTGAATTTCGCAATCTCAAAAATTCGCAAAACTTGAAATCTCAGAAGTATGATTTTTGTCTACTGGAGGCCAGAACACTGTCAAAATTTAGTGCCCGACCCCTGTACCCTTCTCGCCAGAAATTGTGGCTAAGTAATTGAAGGTTTTAACGGGTTCTGAATAAGCGTCGGATTTCGCTAGTCTTGCCTGCTTGTCGTATCGGCACATATTCTTCGTTCCAAATATTAAATTTAAGGCAACAAATTTCGAAGAGCTAGCGCTTTCGCGCAAGGGTGCTTAATTTAGTTGAGCGGCTAACACATCTGGATTATTTATGCTACTATTTCATAAACAACTGCTTTTACGTTTATGCGCCCAAACATAAGTGCCATGTTTACATCATGCTAATTGCGGCAGGGGACTCGCCTAGCTTACCTCTTTAGTGGCTGTGGTGAAATATTTTGAAAATATACTCTTTGCATCTCTCAAAGCTGTCTGTTTTGTTGGGTCTTCTCTTATTGCAGAAACTACAAGTGCAAGCACATTGTGGCTGTTTTACTTCACATCAACGCTGCAAGAAAGTTCGAACAGCTATCGCAACCGACCAGCCTCAGAAGTGGGGCAAAGTGCAAAAGGAGCGCGTCATGAAGAAATATGAGCCAAGAATAATGGTTGACCTACCTTGCGCAAAGAAAGTAAGCTAATCAAGACAAACTAAAAACCCTGATGCCGGGGAAACAATAGACAACATTGAGGGTTTCCCTCTCTTTTGTGTCGTGCTTCATATTCAAACCCCACCAGCTTGTTTCCGCCTTAGCTCTCTGTTCATATGTTTACAAGTCTTGACCGAAACATAGTGACGACATCAACACAGAATTTTTGCCAGCAATCTGTCAACTTGCAAGCCGTTGGCTCTCTTGCTCAACAGTCGTGTCGCATTGGATAGATGGCAGCTTGACATGAATGGCAACAGTAATGTTCTCGGTGCGACAGTTTTTGGTAACCAAAGGAGCAGCAACTTGTGTCGCCTAGGTCTGTGGCCGTACAAACTATGGGGCAACGAGAAAACAGATAGCTTTATTTGCGTATGAAGAGCGATCTTAAGAAATAACGGACAGAAAAATATTTATGGTGATGTTTCTAAGCGTTAAAGGGGCCCTCCGGAGCTTTCTGCGATCGTCTGTTTATGTTGTTATATTGCGTAGTAGGTGCAAGTTAATATGTATACAAAGTTTTAGATTACATAACCGTTTATTAAGCAGATGGCAGAAAAAATATATCGGGACTATTTTCTTTTGGAAGACAACTCCCCATTCCCTGCCCATCGCTAAAACTTGACCAATGGAAATGCTGCATCTCGCGGTGAATGCGAACATTATTATTGCAACACTTTTTAAGCTCGTTGTAAATTTGAGTTTGAGAAAAACGTAAACTGATTGCGGTGTGGGAAACATAGTCCGCAATTATCGCTCCAAGACCAGCGAATTGTTTTCTCCTCGCAAGCTTGTTTCTAGGGGGTGATGCGTCGGCGCTTCGGCTCGTCTGCCACCCTGGCTCGTCTGCAGGCGTGCGTTTGCGGGACTCGTGTTCCTTCTTCCCGTGGATCCCGACTCCGAAGCCAGCTTTGCGATCCTTCCACGTCAACGAGTCAAACTTTTCCTTGTCATCTGTGGAATGCGACTGCATATTGCAGTAGCAGCGCGACGGTGCGGTGCGACGAACGACGGCTGCCGAGCACAAAGTCCGGAGAGGTTCCTCCGCGGGTCGGTGGTCGGCCGCGTTGGTGACGCACAGTCACGCCGGAATCCTTCGCTTCCTAGTGGCTGACGCGTAAAGAGATGCCCCTCTCGTTTTCCGGGGTCATCTCAGAAAGGGAGGCGTGCCGGGGACTTTGATAGAAATTTTAATAGGGAAATCCACCGCGCATGGCCGTAATCTTATGATTTTTAGGATCCTTAGGGCCTGTAGATTGAGTTACCGCCATAAATGGACCATCGCAGAACGCTCCAGAGGGCCCGTTTAAGCACTACTGGAAGCTATATTGTCAGGCACACAGCCAGTTTTTTTTTTTTTTTTTTGGACAAGTGGACAAGTTTTTTGGACCTATGACAAAATGTCATATGGGAGACGGGAGACGGGGGGGGGGGGGGTTGCGTGGCACCCCTTTTCTTCTCCCCACCCCCTTCCTCGGGCAACGTGCCTACATATAGTAGATTTTGCCCTTTGCACTTTGTAGAAGTTGATTTCAGCAGTGCCACAGAACACACAAGACAAAATAAACATAAAAAATGGTACAGTGTTCGCTGCACTGTCAGCACCGCTCGACAAGGTGCTCTCTGTGTCAGAGGGCAAGTTGGCAAAAATGGTTGCCCGGCGGCAGTGACATGTTTTTGGACCGTTGCTGCAATGTGGTAGGGTCCCTGAAAATATGTTTCCCTGTGTTGATGGGCCAAGTTCTCCGACTGTTTTTTCAATATGACAGGTCCTTAAGATGTCACTATTTCATGTTGGCTATCGCATTTATGTAACAGTTCTGGTCCAGAAAGAATGCTTAAGTACCGCCTCCTCTATGCTGAATGTCTACACACGAACTCATCTCTGTTATGTCGCGGCGCGGTGGTGGCGCACCGGTCGCATTTCCACTCTGGGGCTGTGGGCAGAAGCCCTCATGCCAGACGTGTATATCTGCGTTGTTTTGAAAGGAACCAGACAAAAACCTGCCTTCTTGTCAAAACGCTGCGACTGGGGCCGTACCACAAGTGTTGAGAAAGATTTGAAGGTCAGTTTTCACGTGCTCGGTTCGTCCGAGAATCTGTATATATGCCGTGAAAAGGGAAAAGCATACGCCGTCGGACAACGATTGCTTGGGCGGGAAGCACTTTGAGTTGAATTCACGGATACTTGTGGTCATCAGACTTATTTGTTTTGTTCCAACATGAACGCCAGAAAACCGTCAAGTTATGCGAACCACCTACGGACTACGTTCAGTGCGCCTTCAAGTTCAGACGTCCCCTGATTGTTCGAACTGTCGTCTGCTTTTTTAAACGTTTCTGCTTGTCGTCTGCTCTCTTAGATGACGCTGGCCCGTAGAACAAATGTTGGCCCTGTACTTGCGATAAGAAGTAAGTGCAGGCCTGAAAAGGCTTAAATTTGTAGGTTGGTAAGCAGGCTCGATGTAAACAGTACATACAAAAAGATGTTGATCATTGTTACCGGTGGCCATCACCGACTTGTTATCCCTAATTCACTTGGTTGGGCTCTGCTTGCGAAGTTCAGTATCGACGTCGGCTATCTCGGCTACGGTTCACGCTTTTGCAGCCTGAGCGGCGTCGCGACTGAAAATTGCGAGCGAAATCGCATTATGCGAATCAGACTTTAGCATACATACTGCGGCGTCCACGCGGAATGAAGCGCCAGATGTCACAATATTCACGCGAAGTTTTGCGGTGTAACGAGCCTCGGTAATTTTGCTGACGCCCCTCAAATAGTCAGACATCGCCAGGAAGACGTGGAATCAACATTTCGAACGCGAAAAAAGGCAAGGGGACTCATACCGACGCCGACAACATTGCATTTCAATGGTTTGTTTATGGGCGACGGCGAGCTTCTTGCCCATACCCCCATCGCGCATGCGCAGCGCCGGTGGCGTCCGCTAGGGGCGCTCCGGTTTGTTTGTAAACACGAGTTGGTGTATTGGATCGCTCGTCTCGCATTGTTTTGAAATAAACCCATGCAGACACCCTGGGTGTCTGCATGGCAAGTATCTGCATCTTGATCTCTGACATCCATTTGTGCTTTTTTTTTTCCCAGGTAAAGACCAAAGAGACTCCTCAACTCCAGGGGCACGTCCTCGAAAGGCTTCTGAAGGATGTAGGACATCGGTCAGCTGCGAAAATGCATTTTGAAGCTGCAGTCGAAGCAGGTATGCGCACACAGTTAAATTAATTCGAGCCGAACATGTGTCTGAGACTTCAGTCTTGCATGAAAAGAATGCGTTAGACAAGTAGTGGGACGCTCGATAAACATGCTACGTATTTACAATATTGTTGTGTCTGGAGCAGTTTTCTGAGGCATCATTCACAATTTGCGCACCCTAACTAGCCTAAAACTGTAAGCACAAGGATAGTAGCACATGCTCAGCAACGCTCGGTAAGCGTGCTGACTGACAACCGTCACGGTGCAGGATAGGAACATGGCATACCTATGCAATAACAATTCATGTATTATGTAAAAGCTTCTGGTGTGCTAACAGGTAAATAATGATGGCGCATGATGCGTCTTGCCAGGTCGGTAGGCTAACAAATTTTATTTTATAGTACACAGGCATATTTGTCGGTAAAGTGTTTGGCGATTATCTTACTTTTCCTAACGATTTCTCTGTATAGGCCCTGGTTGCCTATATTCAACAAATAAATAAATATATAGATGTGCCGCTGAGCAGGTCAGTTAGGCAGGCTATCATTAAAATAAAAAGTGTGGGTAATGTAGATATATCATGTTACGCCTACTAAACTGTCTCCAAACGGTGATGTTTATGCAAGAAAGGTTGTGAGGCAATGCCACGCTTGAAGGGCAATGTGGAAACATGAATGATGATGCTGGCCATAGTTTTGTGACAATTAATCAAGACTGGTGTTGCTGATTCCTTTAGGGCAGCCTACACACGTTTGCGAGCAGGGCCTCTGGGTACCAGCGTCTTGTTCGCTCGGGTATGCATGGGGCATGCCATATTCTGATTACGATGCCTCACTAAGGCTATAGTGACTGGATCATGGCATCCCTTGAAGCGCACCCCAGTCAAGAAGATGGCTGCACCGAGAGGCTGTACTCGGAAACGTGTATTACTTCCGGTGTGTTTGATAGCTAAGCATCAAACATGAGTGATCGTAAAGTACACAAGAAAGGTAAAAAGCAGACATTGCTAAAAGCTGTTATTGATTTCACACTGACTGGCTGTCCAGCAGTCATTGCTGTAAACTATGTTGGTTGAACTGTGTGCCGTGGGACAGAAAAATATGCTGATAAGGTGGACTCCAGCTCTTCGTATATTCGGTGTAGATGTAAGACCAGAGAAGCACCGCAAATGCTAGTGCATAGTTTCTCAAGCTGGATTACAAGGTATACAGGCGTCGACCGGTGTGCTCTCTGGGGTTTCCCGATCTCCAAAACTTTCCGCAAAAGCAGTGGAAACACTGTTGTCACTGTTTAATCCTTGAGAAGTCTTGCTGCTTGGGTAGCAAACAATCTACAGCTTATGCGGAGGGCAAGTTTGTCTGCTTCTTGCGCAGGGGGTAGCGGTGACATCAGAGCGCCGAGCCCCGATTGGCTGATTGCGACCCCCTATCTGAGCGTCGTGTGCTCCTTTGCAGCGTCGTCTGCTCCTTTGCAATGTCGTCTGCGTCTGTCTTACCTTTCCTGCGACTTTGGGAAGTGCAGGTCTTTACGAGCAAGCACGACTTCGCCTTTTAGAGAGAGCAGACGAAATAACTCGAGCGGTACGTTGTTTTCGTCTAACAATTATACTTCATTTCAGCTTAGGTCCGAGTGCGGCCGATGTTGTGAGCCGAAGGGCTAATCAAACAGCAAAAGAGGCACAACGTCATGGCGTGCTCTCTGCAGTTGATAGGATCAGCTGGTATTCGCCGTCT